GGCGGACCTCGACCAGACCCCGGCCCCAGGGTGTGTGTGGGAAGTTGTGGGTGGATACCCCGCAGCTGAGCGCTGTTCGAACCCAGGTCTGTCGCACTCCAAATTCTGAACCCCTTCCCCAAACCTGCCCCAGACCCAGGGCCTACTACACCCGTGCAGGCAGATCTCAGGATTCTGGGAATGTGGTCGCTGGGAACCGGGCTTCCCTAGGCCTCGATTCCAGTGCACTCTGAGGCCAGCTTCGCTCATCTCCTACTGCAGTTCCCAGTAGCCAGCAGTAGCCTGTACTCCCAGCCTGGTTGCCTATCACCTGAAAGGACTCAGCTGTCCAAGGTTTCCAACCACCTTACCTGAACAGTGAGTGGAGGGAGGAATTTTGAAGCAATAATATTTAGCCTATAATAAAAGATTACTTTGCTTCAAAATTCCTCCCTCCTCTCACTGGGCCTCACATCAAATGTCCCAGAGCAAAACCAACTCTGAGAGGCCCATGGCATTACCTGGTCTCGGTGTCTTACGTTGTAATATTTGCCTTATTCAGCAGACACAGCAGAAATAAAGGAGGTAAGACTTTCCCCCCAAATACCAGAAGTTTGATTTTTATGCTAAGGCAAAGAGAAGAGCTCAGCCAAAGACCTAAAGAACTAAATGACAGGACCAGCAGATGGCGTAGTAGTAGTTATGTTGCTGGATTCCCACGTGGCCAACCACAGTCCAAGTTCAGGATTGGTGGCTTGAAATTCACTCCAGGCAGGTGTGTGCAGTGCCCAAGATTCTGGGAGGGGAAGGGGGGAGAAGGGATTGCGGGGTGGCCATCCCCCCAATTCCAGGGTGGAGGAGGGGGTGGGGAGGAGGGATGGTGGTGGTGGTGGTGGTGTGTGATTTCTCACTTTTTCTCTTACTGCCTCTGTCTCTCCTGCGAGTGCAGGTGCCCTATGACAAAAACTTCTTTAAAAAAAGAAAAAAGGAAATAATTTCTCTCCTTATTTAAAAAGAATTTATTTTATTTTTTATTTATTCATTCATCTTATTTTTCAATTTGACCACAAAGACACAGAGAGAGAGTGAGAGAGGGAAAGTGAGAAAGCAAATTACCAGGTCCAAAACTCGAACTGTGGTCAGCCATGTGGGAGTCCAGTGCCCTTATCCACCACGCCACCTGCCAGCCCCATCATTTCTCTTTTCTTAAGTTATTGAACTATTTACTAATTTCCTAGTTACTGATATTACTTGTGTGTGGATAGCAAGGTGCTCACCATCACTTGGAAAACCAATGAAGGTGAATAGTGGTCCCTTCCCACACAATTTAAGAATTAGCAGATGTAGGTTGCATGGCATTGCTTCCTTGAATATTGGATGCTTCTTCTTATAACTCTTCTATCTTGTTGAGAACTTACTGTGAAAACTTGATTATAAATTCAAACAGAGGAGAGGACAGCAGAAGTATCCACTAAACTGATTTGGGACCGAGTTTTGGTTCAAGATATTAGTCATGGGGCCAGCAGGTGGTATAGAGATAAGGGCGCTGGATTCCCACATGGTTGACTGTGGTTCGAGTCCTGGACCTGGTGGCTTGCTACTTCACTTTCTCTCTCTCTCACTCTGTCCCTCTCTGGTCAAATTAAAATAAGTAAATTAATTAATTAATTATTTTGGAGAGGTTTTTGCTATATGCCGTGTGCTCTCACCAGAAAGAGAAGCAGACAGAAAAGGAGAAATCACCTCCCAGGGAGGATGGCCACGCCACCATCCCTTCTCCATTCTTCTCTTGGGATCTTGGACACTCACGCACATGTGCCCAGTGTGAGTTTAAGCCACCAGGTCTGAGACTTGAACCATAGCCGACTACATGGGAGTCCAGTGACAGAACTATTACGCCAACTGCTGGTCCCAAATAAAATAATTTTAAAATAAAAAAGATATTGGCCGTGATTTAATGCTTTGCTTTTTTTTTTTTTTTTTTTTTTTTTTTTTTAGTTTGGTATAGGGCATATGTACTCACCAGAGGGGGACAGAGAGAGCTAGAAAAAGGGAAAGTGAGAAATCATGCCCCTTCCCCCAGGGAGGATGGGCATGCAGCAATGACTTCTCCAGTCTCCTCTTGAGATTTTGAGCATGCACCCACAAAAACACAACTGGTCTGTGTTTTGTTTTGTTAAAGAATTATTTATTTATTTAGGAGAGATTTTTGCTATAGGGCGCGTGTGCTTGCCAGAAGGACAGAGAGACAACGAGAAATCACCCCCCAGGGGGGATGGCCATTCCGCAGTCCCTTCTCCTCCATTCTCTTCTTGGGATCTTGGGCGTGCATCACACACGCCCGGCGTGAGTTTAAGCCACTGGGTTTGGGACTCGAACCACAGTTGACTACATGGGAGTCCAGCAACATAGCCATTATGCAAACTGCTGGTCCTGTTAAAGAATTATTTAATTTAATTTTATTTATTTATTTAACTAGAGAGGGACAGAGAAAGAGAGGGAAAGTGAGAAAGCAAGACACCAGGTAGAGACTCAAACCGCAGTCAGCCATGTGGGAGTCCAGCACCCTTAATCACCATGTCACCTGCTGGCCGCACAGCCAGTGTGTTTTTCAAACTGCCAGGTCTAGGACTCAAACTACAAAGACAGACATGTGGGACCCAACCACCTTAACCATGGGCTGGCCCACCACTGATCTTTGTACTGTCTTCATAGTTTTGCCTTTTTCAGAATGTCATATAATTGAAATCATACCATATATAACCGTTTCAGATTGTCTTCCTGCACTTAGTAATACACATTTAAGTTTCCTCCATGTCTTTTCAATGTTTGATATAGCTCGTTTCTTTAGTGCTAAATAATATTCCTTCATATGGATGCCCTACAAAGAAGCTGTATCACTTTACATTCCCACCAGCAGTGAATAAGAGTTCCTGTTGCTCCAGATCTACACAGCTCCAGATGTGCACAGCATTTGGCATTGTCAGTGTTTCAGATTTTTGCATTCTAATATATGTCTAATGGTATCTCATTGTTTTAATTTGCAATTCTCACGTGACATATGATGTTAAACTTTTTTCATATACTTGTCATCTATATTTTTGGTGAGGTCTGTCCAAATCTTTTGCCTGTTTTTTAATGAGGTTGGTTTTCTTAGTGTTGAATTTTAAGAGATATTTGTGTATGTTTGATAATAGTCCTTTATCAGATACATCTTTTATAAATATTTTCTCCCAGTCTGTGGTTTGACTTCTCATATTCTTGCTGAACAGCTTTAAAAAAATTGCCAGTGGGTGTGTACTCACCAGAGAGACAAAAAAAAAAAAAGAGAGAGAAAGAGGGCTGACAAGTGCGTGGTGGTTAAGGCTCTGGACTCCCATATGGCTGACCACAGTTTGAGTCTCGGACCTGATGGCTTGCTTTCTCCTTTTTGCCTTCTTTCTCTCTCTCTGTCTTTTTGGTCAAATGGAAAACAAATAATAAAAACAAATTAAATGAAATAAAGAGATAACTTAAAAGAAAAGAGAGAGAGAGAGAAGGAAAGAAAGAGAGAAAGAAACCCCACCTCCATGGGAGATGGTCACAACCCAATCTCTTCTATTCTCCTCTTGAGATTTGGGAGGTGTGCACACACATGCACACGCATGCACACGTACACACACACACACACACACACACACAGAGGCCCAGTGTTTTTTTTAAGCCACTGGGCCCAGGGCTTGAACCACACTAACTGCTATGTGGAACACAGCTGGCAAAACCACCATTTCATTGACCGGCCTGATGAACAGCTTTTTTTTTAAATAGATTTTTGATATAGGGTGTGTGCGCTTGCTAGAAAGACAGAGACAGAAAGCGAGAAATCACTCTGCAGGGGGAATGGCCATGCCGCGGGATCTTGGGCATGCATGCACATGTGCCCAAGGTGAGTTTAAGCTACCGGGTCTGGGACTCAAACCACAGTCGACATGTGGAAGTCCAGCAACATAACCATTATGCCATCCGCTGGCCCCATGAACAGCTTTTTGTGTGCTTATCTGTATGTCTTTATGCATTCAAATCTTCATCCAGTTTGTTTGTTTTCTTTTTTTTTTTTTTTTACATTGTATGGTTTTCACTATGGAGCTTGGGTGTCTTTTCTTTCTTTCTTTTCTTTTTTTTTTTTTTCTTTTTTTTTTGGTAGAGGTTTTCTTGCCTTAGGGCATGTGTGCTTGCTGGTGAGAGAAACAGGGACAGTGAAAGGGAAAGTGAGAAATCACCCTCTAGGGGGAATAGCCATGCTGCAATCTCTCCTCCATTCCCCTCCCGAGATCTTGGGCACACATTCTAGCATGAGTTTCAAGCCTAGTGGCTTGAACCACAGGTTCAAGGTCCAGGACTCAAACTGTAGTCAGCCATGTGGGAGTCCAGCGATATATCCGCTATGCCATCTGCAGGCACCACAGGTAGTTTTTATTTATATATTCTGGATACAAGTCCTTTATTTGATACATGCCCTGCAAATAGTTCCTCCCAGTCTACTTCTTTTTAAATCTTTATGTGTTTATTTCGTTTTATAATTATTTAATTTTATTTATTGTTATTATGTTTTTTTAGAGAGATTTTTTCTATAGGGCATGTGTGCTGACCAGAGAGACATAGACAGAAAGTGAGAAATCACCTCCCAGGGGGAATGGCCATACATACCACAGTCCCTTCTCCTCCTTTCTCCTCTTGGGATTTTGGGAATACATACACACGTGCCCAGTGTGAATTTTAAGCCACTGGGTCTGGGACTCAAACTGCAGTCAACTATGTGGGAGTCCAGCAACGCCATTTTATGGCATCTGCTGATCCCAATTATTATTATTTTTTTAAGAGGTTTTTGTCTTAGGGTGCATGCCATCAATAGAGCGAAACAGAAAGAGTGAGAAGGAAAGTGAGAAATCACCTCCCAGAGGAGATGGCCACACTACAATTCCTTCTCCTCCATTCTTCACCTAGGACTTTGGGCACGCATGCACACGCACCTGGTGTGAGTTTTAAGGCACTGAGTTCAGGACACAAACTGCGATCAGCCATGTGGGAGTCCAGCAACATAACAGCTACGCCATCTACTGGCCCCTGTTATTATTTTTTTATTTGCTATAGGGCATGTGCACTCACCAGAGAGAGTAAGAGAGAAAGCAAGCCGCCAGGTCAGGACTCACACCAAGGTCAGCCATGTGAGTCCACCACCTTAACCCCCATGTCCCTGCTGGCCCCATTAAGAATGTTTTTCTTTTTTTAAA